GAGGCGGAGGGAGTGGCAATGGAGAAGGGGGCTCTGGCGGCGATAGCAGCGGCAGCGGCGGAGACAGCGGGAGCGGGAGCGGTGATAGCGGGGGCAGTGGCAGCGGAAGCGGCGGGGGAGGCGGAGCTGGAGATGATGGCGGTAGTGGTGGCGATGGCGGCGGTGTCGTTATTGGTGGCGGTGGAGCAGGCAGCGGCGGGCAGGGCGGCGGTTCCGGAAACGTTGACAACGGCGGCGGATCCGAAACCATCGGTCCGGGAACTTTCATCGAGACGACGGGGAAGCTTATCGAGTGTTTCCAAGGTACGTTGAGTTACTTAATCATAATGTGATTGGAGTGCATGGGTGTCTACCATCATATCCATTGGAATTCCTGATGTCGTGAAGTTTATCATCATATCTATTGGAATTCCTGCTGTCGTGCCGTTTATCATCATATCTATGGAATGCATGAATTATTATTGCTATATGGATTTTTTTTTTCTTTTTTTTAAGCTGTTTTCTCCTCATTGAGGGACATACGTAATGAAATGCGTGCTGGTTGCTAGTGGAATGCATTTACAACGAACATGATGATGTGGGAACTCCGATAGAAATACGGATATCAGTGCTTGCGGGTTATAATGGAATGGTGCATTGAACATTTAGCTTTGACGTTCCTGACCGCAATTTCAGCGTTTCCTGAACCGAAATCGTCATGTGCTACTGGCGGGAACCCGGTAAGCCCAACGATTTCGGTTAAATAAACGCTGAAATTGCGACCGTGAACGTCAAAATTAAATGCCCCAAAGGAGTATTTACACTCGCATGTGCTTGAGTGGGATGTTCGGTAAAAGTATAAAAAGAGGAAATGGCTGCGCATTTCAGCCTCGAAAAAATGAGGGCCTCTTTTAGTTTACCGTAAGTGTTTAACGTACAGCCTTTCTCTAAATTGGGTGCGTAATCGATCAGCTAAGTGCATACTCTCGATAGATCTTTTCAAAATGCATCTGTTTGCAATTACGGCCTGACCTGGGCATCTGACTGCGATCGCGTCCGTAAATGCCTTTAGCTAGGAAAGCGCGTTCTTAGAGCCTCGCTCGACCACTCGCCAAATGTGTAAAATGAGAAGAATTTTCTGGCAGAACATGGAAAGATATTTTTTGTCGTTTGTGCACGTGATGAGTAGTGGAGCGAGGCCCTTAAACTACCATGGCTCCCTAAAGTCGTGCCAGTTAACAATGCACGGCTGTAGGAAACGTACGGGCCACTGCAGGAGCGCCCCAATTCATCCGACTAGAAATGTTTCTACTCTATTTTTTCCCGGCGGCCGATAGCTGGGCCAAGTACTGGTGGTTTAATGTGTATTTCACTGAATGATTTCGGATTTCGTTTGAGCCCCTACTTCATTTATGCTCAACTCACACCAGCGTTTTTGTACTTGTTTCTGGACGGAATTGCGACCAGATGCATACATGTTGGACCGTAAATGCGGTCAAATACATTCAAGATAGTGCTGGTGTGAGTACGCCCTTTGTTGTGCTTTGCTTATTGCTAAGTGGAGTGATGCGGAAGACGATTCGGCATACTCGCACGAAGCACCTCGTTGTACTTGTTTCTGGGCGGAATTGTTGTCGGATGCACACATATCCGGCCGTAAATGTGGCCAGAGGTAGTAGTGCTAGTGTGTGTTCGGCCTTAGTCTTGCTTCGCTTATTAAGTTGTGTGATATGCATGACGATTCGTTTGTCGTTAAAGGTTCTACCATTGAAATTGACTGACTCCGTTGCTCAGTCTTTGGTTGTTCATGAGTCCCCCTACCGTCTTCACACGAATACAAAAACTTATGGTAATTATCGCGGTATTTATACTGATGGTTGCCCCAAATACAGCCTTTATGTCCGGTGAAGACGGTAATCGAGAGCACGGCGGCGGGATCCCTTTTCATTTTAAGGGGCCTGAAAAAAACTGACGCCGAACTCAGTTGGTACAGCCCTCAATTTTTGAAATGCAGACAACTGCGTTCGGCCTCCACTGATAGCAGATAACTAATACTATTTTTTTGACTTTTATTTTTTACATACTATTTTGAGCTACCGTGTACAAAACGAAAGGCCCTGAGTCCATGAACTGATGGATTGGATGCCATATCTTGGAGATGAAATTCGATCGTCCGTCCGTGTTTTACGCTTCTGTTTTGTCCTACCGTCGTAAACCGAATAGAATGCCCGGTCATTGTAACAGCGTTCGGTACGGCAATGATGACCGGGCGTTCTATTCGGGTGAAGACGATACTTTGCTTAAGAAATTGTGTACCGCTTGGTCCCGCTGCATACACGAAGTAGCTCGATTGCTGCGTTCAGTACATTGACGTCTAAAGCACTTTTGCCAGAATAGAACGTCCGGTCATTATAACAGTTACTGCATTCGGTACGACTTTCAGTCTAGATACAGTGACTGGCGTTCTATTCCGGTGAACACGGTACTTTGCTGAAGAAATCGTGTACCGCTTCTTCCAGCTGCTTACACGAAGAAGTTTGATTTCTGTTTACTGCATTGAAGCACGTTTACATGAATAAACATGAATAGAATGCCCGGTCATTGTAACTGCATTCGGTGCAACTTTCAGTCTGGATACAGGTCACCGGGAGTTGTGTTCGGGTGGGTGAAGACGGTAGTTTGCTTGCTGTTTGCTACAATGACGTTTAAGCGCATTTACCCGAATAGAACGTCCGGTCTGCGTTCGGTGCAACTTTCAGTCTAGATATGCGATGATGACCGGGCGAAGGCGGTAGGTTGCTAAAGAAGTTGTCTACCTGTTTGTCCTGCTGCTTTAGACGAAGTGGTAGTGATTGCTATGTTTACTACATTGACGTCAAGCGTGTACAGCATTTTTTTGTTTTTTTGAAGTTTTTGCATTGACATACTTTACAGCGCTTTATTGATTTTCTCAACCAATGTTTACCTTGTTGCGAGGTTTTCGGTGAGAGAAGAATATAGCTTTAAAAAATGAAAAAATTGTCGGAATTTCGTTAACTATTCTGAACTAAGTTGTTGGCCATCGTGATCACTGAATGTACTTGCAGGCTTCGCTTATCAGACAAGATTGGATCAGTATAAGTGGGTTAGCGAAATTGGCGAGCGCTTTTACCTGGTGAGTGAAGGGCCCTGGGCCTAGTTGCACCACTCGCCCTTTCGCCAACATGTTGAACGCATCTTAACTTGGTCTGTCCAGATGGATTCAAAAACTTGGCGGATGGTGCAACGAGTCCCCTAAGCCGGAAGAATGTGGAAGAACTAGTGTGTATTGCACGGATTGCTCGAAATGATGTTTTGGTTTTCGTGCTTGCATGCGTACGAATCGATCATGTACTTGGACTTGGCGACACCAGCTGTTTAATTGATATGCCCTCAGTCTCTGAACGAATCTATTATGTACTTGGACCGCATCGTGTCCAGCTGCATTAAAAATCTAGTAGCGCTGTATTCGTGTCCAGATGCATTCAAACTGTTGCTCGCATAGTTTTCTCACTCTGGGCATTCATTGTGCACCTCACATTCTCTCCTTTGACCTTTTAAGAATGTTTTTAAATTCAGGTATGGAGGTGATGTCTGCGTGATAGTGGGCCGACATGCATCTCTGTTCTCCCTATTCTTTATTCCGTATGATGTCTTTTTTCCCCCCTTCCTCCTTAACCTAAAGATGATGTCTTCCTGTCGATTGTTTTGTTTTACTTCTATTCTATTTGAAATATATTAAAAAATCAGGTCGTATATTGAAAAATCAGGTACTAGCTCTACCTACCGTCTTCACCCAAATGCAACGTACGGTCATTATAGCTTCATTTCGCCCAACTTTGAATCTAGACCGTTCCTTGTATTCGGTTGAAGACGGTAGTGAAGCAGCGACATGAAGCAGTCCTGTATGTCTGGCGCGAATTCGTATCAGGTACTAGCTCTACCGTCTTCGCCCGAAATGGGGGGAAGCAGTCATGCAGATTAGGGGAGAAGAAAACATCCTCGGATTCTTATATATATACACTAGCGGAGCGCAAGACAGGAAAAGACGGATCTTCCAAGATGGAAAGCATACACGGTGGCACAGACCGGCGAATAAATGTATACGTATATATACACGATCTGTAGATTTAAGCATATATATACATTATATATACAGAGCAAAACATATATTGGACGTAGCATTCGTTCTCGATCTCACGGACATAACCGTCGTGGCCGGTGGTAAATGACTGAAAAGGGTGGGGGGGGAGGGGAGGGCTTTCGGGCGTTCCACACTATGCCCGTGGGGCGGCGCTCGCTATTTGGGGCAACTTTCAGTCTAGATACAGCGATAATGATCGGGGGTTGTAGAGACGGTTGGACTTCAGTTCGTTTCTACTGGAATTGCATGATTTCTATTCGGGTGAAGACGGTTTGCGCATCCTTGTTGGAACAGGCCTGTTCCGCATCGAGGATATTGCTACAAATAGTGGGCCATCATTTGTACAAAATTGCATGTGTCAGGGTGCGCACCTGACGCCAAGGCTGCGGCTTTGTGCACTGGTACCGTCTTCCGCCGAACACAATGCAGTCTCATTTTGACTGTATCGGACTGGAATGTTCGCTCGTATACCTTCCTTATGAGGGTGCGTTACGTTGGGGGGAAGACGGTAGCCCGTACGATCTGGGCGAAAGACGGTAGCAGTTCACTTGCATTCATCGCATGTCTTCGCGTTCTAACGTCTTTTTATCTATCGTCTACCAGTTATGTTGTCTTTACCTCATCCATGCCTTTACTACCTTTTTCCCCCGAATACAACTTACGGTCAATATAGCTGTATTTCGGGTCGAAATACAGGTATAATGACCGTACGTTTATTTCAGCAAAGACGTGTTTTCCTCGTGTTTTCGGCACCTCGTCCACGCCTTTACTACCTTTCTCCCCACAAACTAATGAACGGTCATGATAGCTGTGGTAGGAGACCGTACGTTGTATTCGGCAAAGAAGTGTTTTCCTTATATCTTCGTTACCACGTCCATACCCCAAATACAGCTATAAGGACGATGCGTTTTCTTTGGCAAAGACGTGTTTTTCCTTGCGTCTTCGGTACCTCGTCGATGCCCTTACTTACTTTTCTCCCCGAATACGTGTGGTCACTATAGATGTTTTTAGATTGAAAGATAACCCAAGCCAGATACAGCTAGAAAGAAGGCAGCTAGTCTCGGTTATGTCCCCTCAGTAGCTCGCATTTACTAGCTTCATCCCCCGAATGCACGGTCGTTACGGCTGTATTTAGACTGAAACATACTCCAAATGCAGCTACAATGACCGTACTTTGTATTCGGCAAAAGAAGGTAGCTCGTATCGGCTTTGTCGACTCCCTAGTTCTTCGCCGAAGGGGGGTGCCGTCGTACCTCACCATGCGATACCTTCGCCGTGAAGAGCCAAAGGTGTTGAGCTCAAGCAAAGTTCTCCATGCCTTCATCGCCATCTCATCATTTGCTTTTTTGTTCAGGGATCTCAACGGAGAAAGGGCGTCGCTCCACTACTCTCGACATGCACAATAGAAGAAAGCCACGTTCAAGCTAAAGATTCGCTCTCGTTTTGCACATGTCGAGAGTAGTGGGGTGAGAGCCAAAGATGTGAAAAAAAAGATTATTTGTGTTCAGACGCGAATGAATCTGGACCGCAATCGCATCCAGAGCTCAGTAGAAAACGCCCTCGTGTGAGTATGCGCTCAGCGTGATTGTTCTATATTTGGTTATTTCCCTTCTTCAAGGACAAGCATGTTTCCTCCTTCGGCGAGTCATTCGGTTCCCTTCTGGTTTGTAGTGACGCTCACCTAAATGTTTTGTCGTGACGTTTCCGTGTGCAGAAACCGTGTCGAAAATACTGTTTGAAGATTGTGTTCAATGGTAAGTTTTTCTTGAGGAAAAAAACTAGGGCGCAGTCACGGTTTGAGTTTCAAAATGTTGAACATACATAAGCTAGCTTTGAGGTCAGGTTGGGGTGTGTTATGTTCGACGGATGGCTGAAATGCATGTTCAAAAGTTGCTCTTTTTGTTTAATGCGTATGATCATTCTCGGGTTACGATTTTTTCGCATTGGGGTGGAAATAAATGCCTTTAGAAAAATATAAAGTATCTATCAACCTCTTATCGTGTCGAGTTGCCGGAAAAACATTGACTAAGCTGCTTAGTGCGATCGCACCACGGTGATTTTTACTTGTTTTTGTTTCCCACGGTGATCTTAGGTGAAAGGCGAAAGAATAATAGTACGCAGTATGAGGTGTGCAGGCAGCTGCGTATTCGAAGTGGCCTTTTTTTTCAAATGTACAGTTTGGCTTGGAGTTGTCTTTACTTGCTTAACGTCACTCGAGCGTTCTTTTGCCATATTTTGCCTGTACCTCCGAACTTGAGTAAACGATTTCGTTCTCATAATTTTTTATTATTTTTGTTCAGCTTTCTCATTCCACACTTTATTTTGTAGACGACTAGAATCCGAATGCGCGAGTTTGGCTAGCAGTTCTCCTTACCACCGGTGCCCGAAACTATTTGCGGGCGGGGTCCAAGTATTCGTTGCAAAAATGCATCTTTCGGATCGCGACTGACATTCTGCAAGGAAACTTCGAAAACGCGCTATTTGTTGGTACTTCCTGTTTTTTTTTTTTTGTGAATTTGTTCAACTAGACCTTTCACACGTTATTTACTAAATGATATCGGCCTCCGAAGTTTCATTTGCTCTCGAAATCGCGTTTTGCTCATCCTCTCGGGAAACAAAATGTTTTTTTTTTTCGTTGATGTCTACTGAAAACAAGTCTAGTTCTCAAATTTCGAAAACAATTCAAGAATATGCAAACTGATGATTTCGCTAAAGGGATGTTTTACGGCCAATTTAGTTGGATCTTCAAGAATGTTTTTGAACGAAATTAAAATAGATAGGTCAAAATTTGAGAAGTCGAACTGTCTTTTTTAATTTCGTAAACAATTAAAAAATCTGCAAACTAGTTCGAAGCCATTAGATGGTTTGATAACAATTCAAGTTACACAGTTTCATATCATCAAAATGATGAACAGTTCAAGACCTAATCACTTGCAATTTCTGAATGAAAATAACAAAAGACGGGAGGGCACTGGAAAATCGACCTTGCGGTAGGTAGTAACGGGAATGAAACCATCCGGGGGGTTTAGTTTTTGATTTTTAAAAGTATTCTCCTTAAATGGTGGCACTGGGAAACCCGTTCTGAATGAAAAAAACAAAAGACGGGAGGGCACTGGAAAATTGACCTTGCGGTAGGTAGTAACGGGAATGAAACCACCCGGGGGGTTTAGTTTTTGTTTTTTAGAAGTATTCTCCTTAAATGGTGGCACTGGGAAACCCTCACCCGAGAAAAAAGAAAATAGATAAAAAAACGCGTAGCTATGTATTTCTCTCCTTTCACAGTAGCTATCTACTTCACCGACGTCCAAAGTTTTGTTCCTTTGTTCCTACGGATTCCCCCACCCAGGAGAACACGACCCCCATAATGTTCAGTAATGGGGGGCGAGTTCTAAGTCGGTGAATTTACTCCGTAACGAACACCAGTTGGATTCGTGGTCTGAGGCGGGGTCGGAGGCGGGGTCTGATGCGGGGTAGTGCTAACACTGCTAAGCAATTCGCGGAGATAACGTGAGTATTTCTGAATCCGCTTAATCCACCATGAGGAACACTAATGGGGGTCGTGTTCTGAGTCGGTTTGTTGCTAATCAATATGTTGAGATAGCCCTCGAATCGAAAGAGTCGTGTTTGCTGTCCAGAGATCTTTAAATCACACCACACGTCGAGTCGTATGTTCCAACAAATTCATTGGCACTACACCGACACGACCCCCATTCGTGTTCCTTACTGGGGAGATGCAAATGAATCAAGTGGTTTCAACTTTTGTGATTCTAATAAGAGATGTTTGGACAAACACGACTTTTTCGGCTGCAAGTGAAACAATGGTTGTTACCTTTACCGAAAACTTTCATACTGAGAAGTTTCAGTGGCTCGATCATCCGCTTTGCAGGTCAAGATCTTGCTGGCTGGAATAACACGAACAATTTTTATGTGGTACGCCCCGACTTTATCGTTCCCTGCTGTTTTTTTTGTTCTGTTTTGTTTTTTGGTTCCCTGCTTAGCTCCGCCCCGACTTTAACGTTCCCTGCTGTTTTTTTTTTGTTTTTGTTGTTTGGTTCCCTGCTTAGCTCCGCCCCGACTTTAACGTTCCCTGCTGTTTTTTTTTTTTGTTTTGTTTTTTGGTTCCCTCATTAGCTCCCCATCCTGTTGTTTGTTTTTTTCGCTTTTTTTCAAACCCTAGGCTGCGAGCCGGGCCGTCCGGGTCCCGCGGGTGGCCAGCCCGTGCAAGGACCATGGAAGGTCCCAGCAAAAAAAACAAACAAATTGGCTCAGGGTTACATCGAAATTCTGCACCAAATTTAGAATAAAACTTAAAATTTTAAATATGTTTTTATTTTATTATTATTTTTTTGAAAAGTTTTGTTCTTTTTGGCCCGGCCGGGCAAGTGACCCCGGGCCACTCCGGTAGCCTAGTTTTTTTTTTTTTTTTTTTTTTTTTGAAGGCTAATGCTTTAAGCCCAAATTCAATTACCTGTCAAATCTGGACAGGACGGCCTTCAGGCCTGGGTGTGAATCTCCCGTTCCCCTTGCTTTTTTTTGGTTTTTTATTCTTCATTTCCTTCCTCTCGTCTCTCCCCTTCGCACTTGTTTTTTTGTTTTTTTGTTTTTTAATCTCTTCTTGTGGGAAAAGTTCTAAAACCTCCCCGCGACGAAACCGTTGTGCAAAAAACAGGGTGGTCTTCAGAAACGAACCACAGCCATTGCAAAATACAGGTCGACTGGTATAACACACAGGGCCATCCAAACAGAGGTGCCGGTTGGTTCCGCCAAACCTGGGCAATAGACAATAAACTAGCCTCCATTTCAGCGGATGGGAAGCTCAAACTGGCGCCTTGGCTGCTCCAAGGAGGCAACAGGATCCAGAACATAGAAGGCCGACTCTCAAACTGGCGCCTTGGCTGCTCCAAGGAGGCAACAGGACGATGTCTGTCGGCCCTGGCTGAAGGCCGACTCTCAAAAATCGAAGCCGCAAGGAGGGTCCAGGGAAGACCTTCCGATTTTGGAAAGTATTCAGGCTGAGGACTCGGCGAGTGTGCCGGGAGGCGACTCTCCGAAAATGGGAATCGAGATTCCTATGGACGTATTCTTTCTGACAACTCTCCACGGTTTTTTTTCCTTTGTTTTTTCTTATGCCTTTTTTTGTGGAAATAACCTGTCTTCTCGTCAGTTTTTTCCAGTTATGAATCGAGCGTGTGGTGGAGCGCAGCTGCACGCTCCAAAAAAGAAATGGAGAGTAATGGAGTGAGGGCATACTGACACTAGGACTTTTTCTACTAACCTCTGGACATGATTGCGGCCAGATTCATCGAGGTCTGCCCATAATTGCAGTCAGTTTACATATATCGAAGTCCTATTGTGAGCATACCGTGAGACCCTATTGCTCCGTGTGTATCAGTGTAGGACTTTTCCTAGAGTTTACTCAGCAAATGCAGAAAAGACAACACAATGTCTGTGAATCTATCCATGTTTTAGCAGGACATTCATTCTCATTTTGCACACTCGGTTGCTGATCCCACGGCAAGCAGCCTGGCAGCTTTGGTCAGACTGTCCTTGGGCATCGTGGAGGTGCATCGTCCCATCTGCTAGCGAAAGATTCATTCTGTTTTTGGGCCGAGGACCCTTGTGTAGGGGCCATACGAATCATCTGTAGCGTTCCAATTTTAGCAGATGCCCCTGACGGCGGCCGGAGAATAGGAGCCCGATTTGATGCGTGGGATGTGGACCGCAGATGTCAGTTGTCCATTATGGACGGTCCGTTTTTGTTTTTTTTTCCGGTCCGTTTTCGTCTTTTGCCGGTGCCCATGATTTCCCCCTTTAATAATAAGTGAAAGTGACGTGGATGCCCGGCGCTCATTTCCCATTTGCGCGTTATCGTTAAAGGAGTCTAGCAAGGAGTGTAGCACGGAGCCACTGGAGATGTCTAGGGACCCCATTGATTAGCACAAGTGTGTGTCAATGCGCCTGGCTCCACTACTCTCCCCATGCCAAGAGACAAACTATGCTGGTGTAGAGGTGTATCTTTGCACGTTCTAGTGGAAGATTCAGTTTCATTTTGCACATTTCCCCATCCTCACATTTTGCACATCTGGAGAGAAGTTGAGGGTGGCCCAATGAGTGGTCCCTGGCGGCAGGCTCCTACAATGTTAATCCAGTGGTGGGACCGAGCTCCAGGAGATATGATGGTAGTCTCTGCTTTGTAGCTAATATTAGAAGCATAATGCAGAATACCTCTGATCTAGATTCTCTCCTATTGGGTCTCGCTACACTACTTCAGACTCGAAAATGAACAGTCCGACCTCGCTTCGCTTAGGGCATATTCTCTCACACTAGGGCTTTTTTCAGTTTTCTGTGGACGTGATTGCGGTCAGGTGCATCAACGCCGGTTTGGAAAAAGGGTCGTATACATCCTGAAAAGTCCTACCTGGTGCGAGCATGGCCTTAGGGTGTACTCTCTCAGGCAAATTTATCGTAGATGCAACTGACAGCGTTGACGTCCTTACCTGTCATTGGACAGATAGGGGAGAGGGAGAGAGGGAGAGGAATGAAGCATTAGACATTGGTCCTTCCACTGGCAAAGGCCCTCACTCCACTATTCTTGATTTCTGAGTTTGTTTTTAGTGCAGTCCCACTCGACGTATGGCCTCGCTGCACTACTCTCCAAATGTGCAAAATGAGAATGCATATTCCACTAGAACATGGAAAGATACTGCCATCTTTTTTGTCGTTTGTGCATGTGGAGAGTCGTGCAGCGAGGCCCATAGTCTTGATGTTTTCTGTTTTGAAAACTGATCTAGAATTGCCAGACCGGGCCCTTTGACAGAGTTGTCAGAGCGGCCCCTTTGAGAGCACTCCACTTGCAGCACTCTCGAGAATAGAGTCGTTTCCAGGGGCCATGTCCCACATCTGGGGGTTTGTTCTGGTTTCGAGAGTACATGGCTCCTTGCCATCCAATCTGAAAATCTCACGGCCCTAGTGTGACCACGTTGGAAAATAGACGAAACATGAACTAAACCCCCAATAGCGTATTGATACAACGTGTTTCCCGAATACAACACACGGTCGTTGTAGATGTATTTAGGGCGTACGCACATTAGCAGTACGTCAAATGTATCAGACCGCATTTACGGTCATACCTAAGTGTATCAGGCCACAATTCCGTCCAGAAATACGTAACAAGGTCTTAGTGTGAGTTCGCCTTTAGACTGAAAGATGCCCCAAGTAGAGCTATTATGACCGTGGGTTGCCTTCGGGGGAAGAAGGGAAATTCTGCAGGACTTGGACGGCTGCAGGATGTGGGCTAGTACCGTTTTGTAGTTCGAATCGACTTCCTCGTCAAGGCTTGGGAACGTTAGGAGATTTCGAAAGTCTGACAGGTGTTTAGTTGTAGCGTAGTCTGACAGTTGTTTTGTTGTCACGTAGTGCTCTCCGTAGTGCTCGTGAAGTTCGAGAGTCCTGCCTGCCAGAGTGAGGGCATACTTGCACTCGTAGCAAAACAGCAAAAAATGCCTAGTATGCCACTGAGGGCGCACTCACACAACAGTGGCAGCAAGGTATGCGAATTTTGCTGTCCCGATTTTGCTGAAATGCCACCCCGCCCGGTCACGTAGCGGCTGCTGAGCATAAAAGACACGAGCCAGACTTTATGACAATTGCGAAAATGGTGCCTCATGCGGTCGCACAGCGCGAGGCCCAAGTTCGTTTCGAATTTCCTTTCAGATGTGGTGGCAAAATGCCCTTCCCCGTGGCCCGCCAGGCCGCTGACAATTGATACCCCGTTGCTGCTTTTGCCACTTTCCCTGCCTCATGCGACAGCCATCAATTATTCTAGCTATTTTGCTATAAAAGGCTCTAGCGTGAATAGGCCCTGGAGTCCCCTGGTTTTCCATTTTGCTGTTTTGCGCAGTCACATAAAGGTAGCAAATTGGAAAAGACGAAGCCCGGAAGCCCTGCCGTTTGTGAAGTTGCCCACTTGTGAACGGTCACCGGTCAAAAGTAGTCGTCGAAGGGAAAAGCAGCACTGCGAGCACCTCTAGAGGTGCTGGCAAATTGCTCAACCCACGGCCCGTCACACAGGGGTAGCAAATTGGAAAAGACAACTCCGAAGCCCTGCCGTTTGTGAATTGCCCGTTTGAACGGTCACACAGTGAAAGTATTGGGTGGGGGGAAAAGCAAAATTGCTCAACCCGCGGCACGTCACACAGGGGTAGCTAAATTGGAAAAGACAGCGCCTGGAAGCCCTGTCGTTAAAGTATTGGGCGGGGGGGAAAGCAAAGGTACTCAAACCACTGCCCGTCACAGGGGTAGCTAATTGGAAAAGACAGCGCGTGGAAGCCCTGCCGTTTGTGAAATTGCCTGCTTGAGCGGTCACACAGCAAAAGTAGCCGACGGGGGAAAAAGTAGAACTGCCAGCAACTCTAGAGGTTGTGGCGAATTGCTCAAACCACGGCCTGTCACGCCGCTGACTTTTGCCACACCGATTGAGGATTCAAAGAGTTCGGTGACAAATGGCTGAACAACCCAGATAACAAACATGAGGAAACGACATACAATCAAAGAACTCTGACAAATGCCCACGCCAGAACCTTCTCGTTTTTCGGCGCCCAAAGTTTAGCCGTTTGGTACTACCGGCCCAATGACTTGCATGTGGGGTACTACAGGCCCACGCGTCGCTCCAAGGGTCCTACCGGATCATGAATCTGTCGCATAACAGCGCCCGATTCATTTTGATGTAAAAGAGGCCGGAGGTGGTAATGCTGAAGTATCGAATGAGGCCCACGTACGCGATTGTGAAAAAGAAGGGCCCTACCGGCTCATGAATCTGGCGCAGAAACAGCGTCAAATTCTTGAACTGGTAAAAACAGGCCAGGGAGATGTGGCCAAGGCGCGAAGGCGCCTTTCACCCAGAGGAAAGTTAGTTGGGCCGGTAGTACCAAACGGCCGAACTTTGGGCGGCCACAACCGAAAAAGGTTTTGGGCCCTTTTGGCATGGGGTCTTTCTACCAGTTATCCCCCTGAAGGAAGCATAGTTGAGCTCCCGTTTTAGAGGGGAAGAAGGAATAGGACTGCGAAGTCATACAGGTGAGGGAAGTAGCTAGCTAAGCCGCAAAGTACCACGCCACAACACCTGTAGCTGATCTTATCACCGGCAACATCACGCCTGTCAAAACATATGATTGTCTGCACCTGTTTCATGTAATACTGGGACGGTGGACCTTCGAGCTCGTCTCATCTACTGCAGCCTTCAATGCATGTGGCTCTCTCTCTCCACCTCCTGTTAGTGAGGCGCTCGTTGCTGAGATCTATCTACTTAAGCCATCAGGTGTTTAGTCGTCTTCATGTGGGATGTTGGATTCGTTTTCCAGACAAAAGAAAGGGAAAAGAAGAGAGTAGTGGAGCTAAAAAAAATGAAACTGGGAAGTGTGTCCGTTGGACTATTAGACCGATAATTGCCCCAAATACAGCAGCTATAATGACTGTACTTCCGACTCAGAAAAAACAAATCCCTTACTGCGAAGCACTGTCGTAAGCAGCGAATAATGCTAGCGCAGATGCTAGCGATATACCGCCATACTGACGTGGGCATTGTGTAATGGCAAACACAGCAGAGTCATAAAGCTAAGGCACCTCCCCTGCCATATGGCGTTTCCTCTCCCGGAATACAAAGAGCTATGGCTGTCGATATTGGTGCTCATGTTGAGGACTTAGGCCCTATACTCACACAAGGGGATCCTTCGGCATAATCGCAAAAATTGCCAGGTGTTGCAGTCACAATCTCACCACCCGCCCCCGAAATTTGCAATAGACAATGTAGATGTTAGAGGCCTGAAGGGCTATAGAGGGTATGGCTGTAAGCACCTCTTCAGGGGCTTGCAATCTCCCCCGCGGCCTGGACTACTTTTGCTCCGACTTCAGAGTAGGGAGTTTCGCAAATGGGAGTGTCAGCGCATTTTCTTTTCTGATTTGCGACTCCTTTGTGTCAATGCATTAAAATGGCGAACGAGCGGTAGCAAGTGCGGGAAAGTTGCTTTTTTGCTACCCCTGTGTGAGTACAGTATGATGGTCTCGACTATTCATAATGCTTTATAATATGGTATTTGTTGGACGTGGGACGCTGGACCAGGTTTCCAGCAGGTGCAGCTCCCAACCAATAGATTGAGCCCTTCCAGGGAGCACTGGAGGCTGCTGTTGTCATCGCCTTGAAGGGTGCTCTGACTCGCACTTGAAGAAAATAGTGTGACTGTCTAAACTAAAAATATTACTGCTGTGGCTGACTGGGCACTGGAGTCTGAGCCCGGTCGCCTGTCTCTCTTAGGGGCGACAGAGAGCCTAGACTGCAGCTCAGTTATTCATCATAATGCTGCACGATGAATGATTAACGGGTACCGAATCTACATTGCTGACCCCTTGGGCCGATCTGTAGCTAGCAGCCTCTCCCGGGGGGGTGCCAGAGAGGCAGAATGTCTGGGCTAGTTCTTTCTTCCATGACCTGTCAGCTTGCATACCACTAAGCCTCCACTAGGCAGAGGCTGTGGGGTGGGAATCGATTTAGGTGCTCTGTTGCAAGGATGGATCTGTTGTAGGCCAATCATTGAACACTACCGTCTTCAGCCGAATAGGACGACTGGTCATTCTAGCAGCTGCATTTGGTGCGACTAGTCTAGATGCAGCGATAATGACGGGGTGTTCTATTGGGTCACCTGATCCTCCCGCTTGTCCCTGCAGTCCCTGCCTCCCCAGGTTACTGCAGGCCATGGTCTGTTTTATGTCGTTTGTGTTGAGGTCATCTAGGTCGTTCTTTGGTCTCTGCCACCTGTTTCTGATTTCTTTCTGTACTTGTTGTTTAATCTACTCCGTTAGTTCCTCCCAATCTGTCCCCGCACTACTGTGAAAGTTTTCTCAATAAAGGTGCTCTCTCGATCCCAATCGGAATCCTGCAAGGATTGCACGCCAGTCGCGTATTATTGTTGACGTTCACTATTATCGCTTTTTGGCATTGCTATGTCTATTTTTTGTTAAACACCAATCTCCTCGCTAGAGGAGCTGATAAGGTCATCCCCCTCTAGCGGGCTTACTGGTTGCTCCAATCTATTAGTGGGGAGAAGCACCTGCTGGAAAACGGGTCCAGCGTCACAGTATACATCAGACAGGCCAGCCAGCACAGATTACCCTTGCAGGGAATTGACTGAGAAGGCATCGGCGTCATTATCTTATGAATCATGACTGCCGTTTTTTGAAGTCTGTCGTTGACAAACACACATTGTCAAACAGTAGTCCGGTGTCATCTTCCTCCATATTCAATCCCACCATCTGCATCCATGGACCGAGCTCGGGCATGAATGCAGACAAATGTGCTCGATGGTGTTTGTGATCTACTATGACTGGAAGCATCCCTTGTACCAAGGAAGTGCCTGACCCCTCTGGTGGCTGGTGAGGTCCATCGGTTGATCGTTTGTAGATAGGCGGTGCGCTAGCTGCCACTGCAGCGAAGTGACCTTTAGTCGGTTTGCACTTTCTGTTGTGGAAGCGGTGAACCTTCATTGAGGTTTCTGGTTGTTGTTTGAAAGAAGCCCTAAGCTTATGTTTGTTGCCCTCTCCACGATGTGTCCATTGTGTGTGCACGGGGTGAAGCTGTCTGGTGCTTTCTTTAAGCAGGGTGACAAATCAATCACTGACTTGCTGTGTTGCTGCTTTTCTATGTTGTTCTTGCATGCTTTTGTTGGTGCAGTCGACGTGCCGAGACTCGAAAGTACCATATGAATGTGGACAGAACGTCCGAGCAACCGAGTTTATTAACACTTACAACATGGCTGTGAAGAGGACGGTCATTCCGAAGTATTTGTACCAGGCATATTACGATTACGCCCGCTCTAACGACCCCGTGGATGGGAGGGTGCAATGCTGTGACTCGCGATACTGCAATGGTGAGCTACTCGAATTCTTCTACTTTAATCCACTCTTGATGTGCTAACGTGTTTATTTATGCCAACGTGTTCGCCCTGCATTCCTGCACACAACCCTTCTTATTGTCGTTCTCATCAGTGGGTAAAAGAAACTACCGTCTTCACCCGAATAGAAGCAACTCGCTGAATTCGAGCCTTGTCAGCATAGTTGTATTCTGGTCAAGTTTCATACCACTGGGCGTTTTATTCGTTCGAGTCTGGTAGGAACTGCTCTTTTCGGCTAGAATGGGTTGGGACTCGCATCCTCACACTGACTGCCCACCGGACCAATGCATCTTCTCATCATGAATGCGGAGGACAAGATATATCAAGCCGATGTGGTCGTGACGAGTTTGTATAGCCTTCCCGTGAAGTCCGTAGGGCAAACCAATCTCTCGAGCAACCTGTTCCCCATATAGAGTGAAAATTAAGTCCCTTAGGTTGTTCTGTCTGGCAGATTTTTCTGTGTCGCTCGGAGCTTTCCTCGTCTTTGCTGTTCTCCTGTAGCTCTTTTTTTTGTTGCGTAGCACCATTTGAATGCTCGGAGTTTGCTGAGACATGGCGGAATTCCTCGGTCCTTTCTATGGTCGTGGTTGTGGCAGGTGCTGGAAGGCTCGTTGGGGCAAGGTCAGCTGTTCTTGGCGTACTTATTGCATTGTTGACTGTGCTCCTTCTCCTGTGAACAAGTGTGCGCTAACCGGCGTCGGCAGCGCAGCCACGTGCTCATTCGTCCGATGGTAATGGGCATTGGCTGGATTCTATTGCAAGGCAGTTTCCCCTTTTCCTCTCAGAAGATCTTCCATTATGCCGTGCTTGTGGGTGGATCTGACGCCCAATGGGCTTACAGGCCAAACGGATTTGCGGCTTGCCAGCATCCTGATGGTTTATCACCGTAAAGTGGAGACGTGTACAAGGTTTTCTATCCTCGGCAATCGGGCGCGGGTACTCCCTAGATGGTGCAAGTGTCAGATAGCTGAGAGCACGGACTGCCTTAGACCTTCAACTGATGACAGCAGCAGGCAGATAGCAGGTCTGCTGGACGAGAGTCTCACGTTTCTTCTGTTTGAAAATGTGCTGCACTGACGAAGAGTGGGACAATGTAGATGGAGGGAATGGGTGAGGTCATTTAGTGTATGTGAGAACCCCTGGCAATTTCGACCTGGAGTTTTGCAGACGGTTGCAGCAATGGACAAATGCGCAGGGGAGCCTGAACTGGAGGAACATCAAGTGGTTTGTTACTCAGCTGATGGTTGCGGCCTGCTCTCTTCGTTCGCTTGGTGATTGTGCACGCTCTTTGAGTGAGACTCAGTCGTTGCTTCAATCCTAGTTGGTGTGCATCTGTTCACTTTTCGCATGCCCAGATAGCGCCCATTCCTTTCTGTAGAATGTCGTCAATCGCGTCTGTTGGGAGTTCTTTTTCTTTGGGAACGTCTCAGCGTGTGTTCGTTTGCAGCCAGCTGTCGATGAGTTACTCCCCTTTCGGTCGAGCTGCGAGAGTGCGATTTGGATCCGATCGAGTTCGTACTGCAAGAACTCTCGACTTTCCTTCTGTCAAATATTTATGCTGGCCGAATCCTTTCTCGAATTGTTTCATCTTTTTTGGTAGTGTGCATAAGCCGTTTCGTCATCCTTGGAGGTTTTGCATCTGCGACAATTGGCTTTACGCTTGTTCCGAACCCGGTTTCTGCTTTCGTTTCGTGTCACTGAGTGCTGTATTTTTCTCATGTTGTTGAAGCTGTGTCTCCTATCCCGTGCTGCATTCGTGATGCCAGTCCGTACTCATTAGTATCGGCAGCACAGTAGCTTTAGGGAGCACATTAGCTGGGTGCAGTATGCACGTCCACACACTCGGTCACTGCTGGCGAGTGATGCCTTGACACGATTTTCATGGAACTAATTGCGATGAATACACACATCCATGGATTGGTATCCGGTATCGTGTCTGTGTATGCGATCCAACTCGTACTTGGAAAATAGGCGGCTGTAGAGAAATCAGTCCGTTCCTTTGCGTTAGTTCCTGGTCGACTTGGTGTGGATTATCGTTTTGCCTTTATTCTATATTACGGGGAACTTGTCAATCTGTGGCTGTATGTATTCTAAGTTCAAACGTCGAGCGAATTATTGGCACAGGACAAGTGGGCAATCTGTGACTTTATTCTAAGTTCAAACGTCGAACGAAATATGGGCACAGGACAAGCGGGAAGGGTTGGGACCGAGGAGGACGGCAGCAAGTGACGTCACAAATTGTACAAACAGTATGTCGTTTGCTATGATGGGTCTCCTACATGTGAAAACTGTGAAGTTGATTGCTCTTCAGTTCCCCTACTACGGCGGCTCTTAAGGAGGGAATTGCCTTTGAGCGTTTCAGATGGATATGCAAAGCCTGTGAGAGTTGTTGAGTTGTCCAGGATGTTCATTTGTGCTGTGTGACAACGGTCTCCAATAATGAATGAATGTCCTGGCTGGTGTTGTGGAGTTATCGAGGAGAGGTCGTAACTTGCCTTTTGAGGGTTGAAGCTAGGTAGGCCTAGCTAGCATTTAAAGTGTGCAAGTTAGGAGGCTGCTCTCTCTGGTGGTGTGTTGGTTCTTGCTTTGGCATGTTCGTCTGTGCTTTGTCATGAAGGTTTCCGATCTTGAGCGCCTTCAGCTTGCCGGTGTTATGGAGCTGTTGACGAGAGGCCATAAATCGACTTTCACGAGTGCAAGTTAGGAGGCGGCTCTCTCCCGTGGCATGCCAATTTGTCCGTTGTCACAAAGGTTGCTGATAATGAACGCCTTGGCTGGTGTCCAAACTCAAGGTATTGCCACAGACAGGGCCGTCTATGTGTAGCTATAGCGCAAGTTAGGAATTCTCCCGTCTCTGTGGAAATGAAGAACCTCAAGGCAATTCCACTTCCTTGCCTCGCCAGCGCTTCCGAAGAGCAACAGAGAGCAGTCTCTCTTTGACATTTGTGTTTGTGTGACAAGGGTGTGTTTGTGCGAGGGAGGGAGATGGTTTAGGGGTAGGTGGGGCTGTAGGGAGTAGAGAAGGCAAGAGTGCGTGGCACGTGCAGAGGGAGAGGGCAGTAGCACCCAGTAGACGCATCAAAGTAGATGAAATTGACGGAAGTTGAGGAGACGGTGGAAAGATGGTAGGTGATGCGGTGCGTCAGGAATTGAAGATAAAAAGGCGAAGGGAATCACAATGTGATCATTGTGAAGACATGAATGCAGGACAATGTGTTTCTTTAAGATTGCGTGGGAGAAGTTTATCCTCGTTTTTGAAGTCTTGACGCTTTTGTTTAGAAGTCGAGACCAATGATGTCGCTTTCATGCTTTTGTTTTCTTCATAGAAATCACCTGATGAAAAGCAGCAAATCGATGACCGGACCATTTTAACACTTTTGTTTAGAAGTAGAGACCAATCGTGTCGCTTTCATGCTTTTGTTATCTTCATAGAAATTACCTTATGAAAAGCAGCAAATCGATGGCCTGACCATTTTAACATGACAAATCCCCTCCCTCCTTCCATTCCCTCCTCTCTCAGGCAAACCATTCGACAATTTGAAGCCCTGGACATTTCTTAAATTTGGGGGGTGAAATAACCATTCGTTCTGATTGTCCAGGGATTATCATCATTGAAGAGCATCACTCTCTCTCTCATGTGCACACGAGTTGTCTGTCTGTTTTTATGTGTGTATGTCTGTATGTCTGTGTATGTCTGTCTATATGAACCTCTCCCTCTCTCCGTCTCTCCCTCCCTCTCTCCCTCTCTCCGTCCCTCTCTCCCTCTCTCCCTCCCTCTCTCTCCCTCTCTCCCTCTCTCTCCCTCCCTCTCTGTCGGTTTGTCTATCTGGTTCTTTATCGACCTGACTGTCTTTCTGTTTATCTGACATTGTATGTGTCCGTCTGTATCTTCATCAGTCTCTCTCTCTCTCTCTGCTTATCGGTTTAATACTGAATATATCTGTTTGCCTGTCAGAATCTCTGTTTATCTGTTTGTTTATCGGTCTGTCTGCCTTTCTGTTTATCTCACTGTGTGTGTGTGTTTGTCTGTTTATCACTTTCTCTCTCTGTTTGTGTGTGTAAGTCTGTGTGTATGTCCCTCTCCCTGGAGCTGTCTCTCTCTTGCGCTGTCTCCATCCCTCTTTCTCGCTCTTGCATGCTCTCCTTCCCTCTAAATCTCTCACTCGTTCGGTCCTTCTGTCAGGGCTTGCTTTCTCTCCTTCTCTCTCTCTCAGTGCGACTCTATCTCTCACAGTATGACTCTCTCTCTCTCTTGTCCTCTCTCCCTCCCTCCTCCCTCTCTCTCTCTGTCTCGATATGTCACTCTTGTCTGCCTGTCCAAACCTCTCTCTCTCTCTCTCTCTCTCTCTCTCTCTCTCTCTCTCTCTTACTGTCTGCTTTCCTTCCTCTCTCACTCTCTTGCTCTTGCACTGTCCTATCTCTCTCTCTCTCTCTCTCTCTCTCTCTCTCTCTCTCTCTCTCTCTCTCTCTCTCTCTGTCCACCCCCACCCCCCTATATATTTCCATCCCTCTCTTTTAATTTGTCAATCTCTCTTTGTCTTTGTCTTTCTCTCTTTCGCTCTCAACATGTTGATCTCTCTCTCTCTCTCTCTCTCTCTCTCTCTCTAAAAATATGTCAATCTCTCTGTCTCACTGTCTGTCTCCCTCTCT